CCCTCTCCATCTCTCTGGCAAAGTACCCATGCCGTATAACAAAAGCTGAAAATAAAAAATAAAGTGTGAACAATGCTTGGTGTCAGGCAAGTGGTCGAGAAGCTCTTTATTGGTTGTGCTTTCTGGATCAGCCCCAGAAGGCACACAGACAGATCAAGAAATGCAGCTGTGGTTGGAAAAGCATTTTCACTCACTTTTCAAATAGCACAGAGGTTAGCCAAAGGTGGAAGGGGCCCACAGACATATCAGCAGATGAACAGGCCAACAAAACGTGGTATAGACCTATGATGGAATATTACTCAGCCTTAAACAGGAGTGAAGTTCTAATACATGTTACAGCATGCGTGAATCTTAAAAACATGGGAAGTGCAAGAAGTCAAACACAAAAGGAAAATATGGTATGATTCCACTTACATGCCTTGAATAGGCACATTCATAGAAAGATAAAGCAGATCAAAGGAGGGGCCGGCAGGCGGTGTCGTGACTAAAGTGCTGGACTCCCAGTGGCTGACCACGGTTCGAGTTCTGGACCTGCCAGCTGGCTTTCTCACTTTCCCTCTCTCTCTGTCTCTCTCTGGTCAATTTTTAAAATAACAGTAATAAATAAGATTAAATAAATAATTCTCTTCTTAAAAAAGAAAAAGTGGGAACCAGCAGTTAGCGTAATGGCTATGTCGCTGGCCTCCCACGTAGTCGACCGTGGTTCGTGTCCCGGACCTGGTGGCTTAAAACTCACGCCGGGCGCATGTGTGTGCCTGCCCAAGATCCCGAGAGGAGAATGGAGGAGAAGGGATTGCGGCGTGACCATCCCCCCTGGGGGGTGATTTCTCGCTTTCTGTCTCTATGTCTCTCTCTGTCTGTCTGGCGAGTGCACGCGCCCTACAGTGAAAATCTCTCCAAAAAAAAAAAAAGAAAAAGTAAGATCAGAGACTGTCATGCCGGAGGAAGTAGGAAAGGGGAGTTACTATTTAATGAGTGCAGTTTCTATTTGGGATTATGAAACAAATTCTGGACAGACTTGAAAGAGTGGTGAGGGGTGTGTAACACTAGGAAGGTGTTTAATACCACAAACTGTAGTATTTTAAATGGTAAAGTTTATGTTATGTATATTTTATATGTAACAGAGATATAACAAAATATGTTACATATATTTTACAATAGTTAAAAAAAAAAAAAAAATTGCGAAAAATTAAAATGAGGTTTCCAGGCCAGGGAGCGGAACCTCATCATTACCTGGTTGTCACTCTCATCCTCCTCATTGGTCTCCTCCCCTAAAGCCAAGAGGCTGAGAGGGCTCTTGTCCTCCTGGATGGAGCCCAAGAGGCCCTTTGGATAAGCAGAAGTCTTGAGACCCTGTGAAGGCTCCATAAAAGAGAAGGAGAGTTAAAGAGACTCACTAGGAAGACTTCGGGGGTGACTTTTAGAAAGCCTCGCCGCTCTCTATTCAGATGTCCTCTGAGTAGGTCTCACCATGTCCAGGAAGCTGACCTGGAAACTCCACTTCACACTGATGGCTCCACTTCCTACTGGCCCGGCTGCATGGACTGAGTGGTCAGCACGAACGTCCCTATGGCACGGGCCTACCCCTCACTGCCCAAAACCGATATTCATATGCGGGTGAGGAGGTGTCACTCGGCCCAGCTAGATTATAGCCAAAAACAAGAGAAAGCACTTACCAGCGGGAATTCTCCAAGCTGCCCAGAGGCCGCAGAGCCCGCCAGGATCACACTTTGAGGTCCACGGAGAGCAGAGGGTGGAGCATCCACAAGGCCTCGTAAAGGGGCCAGGCCCCCAAGGGGAAGGTGGACTGGAGCTAACGAGGAACCCAGGGCCTGGGCGACAGAACACATCTGTTACAAACCCGAGACCCACATGGCTCTGAGACTGTCAGAGACAGCTATAAAAATAAAACATCTAAATCCTGCCCGCTCAAATTTAAACCGCCTCCGCTCGGAGGCTGCTAATGAAACACAACAGCCAGAAATTACCACCGTGCCAACTGTGTGAGAAATCACGGGCTGGTTTCCTGACTCTCCTCGCTCTGGCGCTGCCTCGCAGCAAACAGCTCTCACATCTGGCAGACGCCGCACAGGGTCCTGTTCTCCTTTCAGGAGCCGGAGAGGAAGCGTGCGGGAGGGGACTGCAGAGACAAAGCCCCCATCTGCCAGAAGGAGAAGTCTCAATAGACAGGCGCTCAGACTGATGAGTCAAGAAAAAGCGGTCGAAGCACATTATTTACGAAGACGCAAGTAAACGCCGCCAGAAAGTGGGTGCCGCTGGGTGCGGGCCCGCACGCCAAGATGGCTGTATGTCATGATATTCCTGTTAGGACTGCCAGCTGCCTTTGTAAACTAGGGCTATGCATTACTTTAACGTTAGGAATTTACTATGAAAAAATGCACACAAGCAACGAAGGAACTCTTCCCCCTCTCCACGGATCAGGTGGCTGAATGAGCCTTGCCTGTCTTATCCCTGTTCTCGGGGGAGTCAGAGACTTGGTGCCCGTGAGGACCAGGGAAGGGATCCAGGCTGAGAGTCTCGGTTTACTCATCTGCAGGATGGAGATGACGCAGCCCTGTCCCTGAGAAGCTCAAATGAGATGAACACAAGGAGCTCCATCATGGCCCATGGATTGCTCTAATACAGGGAGTCACATGGCGCTGACCTGAGTTTATCAGAGGCAGAGGCCAGGATGGCATTCTGAGAATAATTTACAAAGAGCACTTCAAAATTGTATCTCAAATGTAAAATGTATAAATGATACACACATAAAAGCCAGTCCCAGGGCCAGCGGGTGGTGTGGTGGTTAGGGCACTGGACACCCACATGGCTGACCACAGTTCGAGTCTCGGACCTGGCGGCTTGCTTTCTCATTTTCTCTTCCTTCTCTCTCTGGTGAGCATACATGCCCTAGAGCAAATTAAAAAATAATAATAATAATAAAATAAATAATTCTTTAAAAAAAAAATCCAGTCTCTCTAATCCCACTTGGACTGAAGAGAGAAGGGAGAACCCAGAGAAGTTCAGGATGAAGTGCAGATGGCCCATGTTCCCACCCATGGCCTTAGCAGAGGGGCTAGACCATGGGGTGGGCTGCCAGCAGGGCCTCGTCTGAAGTGGACATGAGGGCCACTCCCACTCTATAGACCCCCGACCTGTCCTATCGTGGAACACCTTGGTTAGGGATCAAAGGAACTGATGAACACGAAATTGGCCCACGAGCCCTGGCCACTGACATGCAAGGTCTCACGTCCCTCTCATGACCACCTGAAGCGGGTTCTGTTATTATCCTGTCCCCACATAAGCAGGAGGCTGGTGAGGTCAAGAATTCTGCCCAGAGTCAGAGCAGCAGAGGGGGCGGGGAGGTGACTGGGACCCAGGACTAGCACTGGAACAGTATTTTACACCACCTGGTGGTTGTGACAGAAAAAGGGGCCAGGAAAGCTTTTCCCGGGGGAAGTGAGAGCAAGGCGGGCCTGCCCCTCCTGGCTTCGGCCCTTCCAACCAGCCCCAGCGTATGAGCAAGCACAAATCCCACACTGTATTTATGGAAAATTACAGACTCCAAACATGGCTAATTTGCTAACATGCTGGGGGCTTGAGGGCGGGAGACAGGCATGCTGAGGGCTTTGTTCTCCCAGGCCTTTACCAAATCAGTAGTTAGCGGGGAAATTACACCTCCCCGGCTCCTAGCTGATCATCTTCAATAGATGGCCATTAACTCTGAGTACGGGGCCGTGCATGGCGTTGTCCTTCAGAGCGGATCAACTTGCTGCCATTGGGCTAATTAAAACTTCCAGGATAATCTGCAGCTTATCTGATATTTATAGCACTACAGTAGTTATTAGCGCAAACGGAGACCCAGTGCACGCCAGCAATTAGGAACCAGAGCTATCGACTGGGTAAAGCCAGCTGGGCAGCGGCAGCCGAATAGTGGGGAGATTCGGACTGACCCCATAGTCTCTGATCCAACTCGACTCTTTCTGAATGAAGAACATGGTGACTGCTTCAAGGGACAAAGGGTCAGAATGACAGGGCAAGCCCAGTCCTTTGATAAACCCCAGCAGGGGAGAAAGCGAAGTCACAAATGCTCTTTGTACAAGCCCCACGCAGGCTATCCATCTGGTTTGGTGAAGACCCTGGGAGGCACGGGGCAGACAGCTCACAGGATGGCAGAGTGATTCGGGCTTCAGCCCCACATGAGAGAATTAACTCTGGCTCTGTGGGGCCCCAGGAAGGGAGCATTCAGGGCTGTGCAGTCGGGTGCCCAACTGGAAGGCCCCCTCTCTAGAACAGGCTGATGAGAAAGGCTTCCCAGAGCCCAGGGAGCTGCCCATATCCCGCATGAGTGCCAGGATCAGTGCCACCCTGCCCACCCGTGAATCCGAGGTAGAGCTCGGAAGGGGACATCACGAATACCCTCGGACCTGTCTTGCAGGCGATTGGGTAGAAACAGCCTGAAATGCGAGTCATCCACGAGAGAGCCGTCTGGGTAGATAAGGGCCTGACAGTTACCAAGAAAGGGTGAATGGCAGGACAGCAGACCTGACGGCCGCAGCAGGACCCCAACTCCACCTGTTCCCTCCCTGCCAGTTCGCTGAGGTCACTCGGCCAGCTCTCTAAGAAGCCTACCTGGTGAAGAAGCTGCATCGCGCCCGGCTCTGTGACGAGCCCGCTGTCGGAGCTCAGCTCGGCTAGTTCGTGCCTGAGAGGGCTGCTGCTTAGCTGGAAAGGGGCTTGCTGAGAGGCCTCCTGCCCAGCAGGGGCAAAGACCACCTCCTGAGGATGCTCCAGCAGCTCCGGCCCCCAAGACAGAAACCTGGAGTCCCTCTCCATGGCTCTGACGGCCTCATGCTCACCCTCACTAGACATCCTGGCAGACTCGGCTGCCATGCAGCAGACCATGCTGGCGATGTCCTGGCCTGGCATCTCCTGCATGCTCTCGGGCAGCCCCAGGTCCTCCAGCCGCCTGGAGATCTTGACCATCTGCAGGATGTGCTGGTAGAACCTCTGATCCTCCGAGTAGTCCTCGCTCTCTGACTGCTCCTCAGCAGAGCTCTGCGTGTGGGACAGCTGGGGACCTCGGAAGGGGCTGGAGTGTTGGTCTCTGGGTCCCAGGCCTGTCCGTGCCATGCCCTGCTCAGATCTCCGGAAGCTCTGCAGGTCCCAAGGGAAGCTGTTCGCCTCCCCCAGGATCCGAGAGCCCGGGTAACAGGTCACGCTGCTGCAGCGGCTGCTGCTGCTGCCCTCTGAGCCAGACCTGGACACTCCAGGCTTCCCACCCTCATCTGTGGGCTGTGGAGACACTGGGGCCTGTCTCTTCTCGCTAGAGGCACTCCCTAAGGGGGAATTCTGAGCTGGTCCTGATGCCAGGGTTTCAGGTGGTATTAGGGAGAGTCCCTGAGGCAGTTCTTCAGCTGAGTACCCTGGAGCCTCAGGGTCACTGGGCTCTGTCTGCTTGCAGCTCTTTGGTGTATCCTTGTTGACAAGCTGGGAGACCTGTCCCATCCACAGTCCTGGTGGCTCTCTCCTTCTCCTTCCCCTGCCCATGATCCCACCTTCCCCAAGGACGTCCTGCAAGCTCAGGTCGGCAGCTGGGCTGCTATCTAACGGGAACAGCTTGCCCTTCCTGGTAAGCAGCAGGTGGTCAGAGGAACAAGGGGACAGGGAAGGCTCCTCCTCAAGGGATGTCAAGGGAATGGGGCTCTGGCTCTTGTCACCCCCGGGCCCAGTGGAGCTCAGCTTGGCTATGCCGGGGCCACGCTGCTCCCCTTTCAGCGGGCCCTTAATGGTCTCAGAAAGCTTTGAGTGGGCAGGGGCCTGGCTTCTGCCTGCTGACACATCTTGCCCCTGCTGGAGAGGGCCTTCAGCGTTCTGAGGGTTCAGAGCATCAGGCTTCTGCTGTCTGCTCCTCATTTCCAGTTCTTCTATTTCAGGGTCTGAAGACCCCAGGTAGACTTTCTCTGTCGCCTTCTGGGGCGTCTCCAGACCTTGCTGATCACCTAGCTCTGTCCTGCATTGGGCTGAAGTCCTGCCTAAGATTTTCTCCACGTCGGCAATGATCTGGTGGGTTCGGGAGGCTTGGCATTTGGAGAGTGGCTGCAGCTTGCTGGGGAGGCCCCCTACGAGAGGCCAGGGGGTGTCACCCAGCGCACATGGGCTCTTGGCTTTCTTAAAAGAGCCCTCGCTTCTAGCCTGCATCTCTTGGTCTAGGTCCAGATCAGCAGGCCCAGGTACTGGGAGAGGGGAGGGGCCGCGGAGACAAGAGGAAGGCAGCAGAAGCCCCTGCTCGGGCTGGGTTTCCTAGACGGGCATGGGAACATGCAGAGAAAACGGAGACAAAGCACTTCTGATTTACACTTGCTGCCTCAGCCCTTGGCGAGCCCTCAGCAGAAACCCACCCTCCGTTTAAAGTAAAACACAAAGCGAAGCAGAAAGAAAAACTGAAAACTCCTCCAGGCTGGAAAGATGTTCTTTTCTGGGCTCCAGTTTCCTTATTTATAAAGAGGCTGGACTAGATCGATTGCTTGCAAACCTTGTTCCAGGAACCCTGGGGCCCAGGACCTGGAGGTGGGGAAGGCGGGCTCTCGTGTGCAAGTAACACAGAAAGGGGTGCCCAGACCCATACCCCACATTCAACCAGGGCAGCTCCATTTCTTTTGTTATAAATTGGGCCTCCACAGAGGAAATGAAGATAGCACTTCATTGCTAATAAAAATCTGAAAACTGCCAACTAGGTTATTCCTAAGGTACCCTATCCGGCTCTCAGATTCTGTCATTGGTTCATTTCATAAAACCCACCAACCTCAAGGAGTCCCAGAAAGGTTCTAAGAAAGAGAGAAGAGAGGAAGCAACCGGCAACCTGAGCCTAGAAACTGTTCAGTGTCTCCCACCAAAGGCACGAGTTGATGCTGCTTGAGAAATACCTATAGTCATAGAACCCCAGGGTCAGAAGAAAACCTCAACACAACAGTCACCCTGCCAACATGCACACAGGCCACCACCCAGCTTTGAGTCTGGGACGCCAGAGAGTCCAGACCCCTGGAGTCCAGGTCTTCCACCTGGTTCAGGCTAGTCCTCTGGACAAACTCAAGTTTAAAGCACTGCCCTGGGGTTGTTCGATCATCCTCATTCCCTGAAGCCACAGAAGGAGCCCTTTGTCAACAGGAAGCTCCAGGAACTCAGGCACACACTTGGAACTCAGCCTGTTCCCCAATCCTCTACTCTAGGACCCGCATTTCAGTCCCTCTCCCGCCTCTAAGCACACCAGAGCCTGCCTGGTGACTGATCATCATTTCAAACAATCCTGGGCTAGTGAAAAGTCCACTCGCCACCTTTGGTCACTCAAACACATGATATTAGAAACTCATCCTCAGGGGCTAGCAGATGGTGTAGTAGTTATGTAGCTGGACTCCCACATGGACGAACACAGTTCGAATCCCAGACCTGGTGGTTTGAAAATCATTTGGCATATGTGTGGGTGTCCAAGATCCCAGGAGGAGAATGGAGGAGAAAGAATTATGATGTGGCCATCCCCCCAGCGGGGTGATTTCTCACCTTCCCTCTCACTATCTCTGTCTTTCTATCTCTCTCCAGCAAGCACACACACCCAATGGCAAAAACTTCCTAAAAACAAAAATAAAAGAAAGATAGAAACTCATCCTACTTGGGAATTATCTGTCCGCTTCTCTCTACCTGAGGAACAGGCTTGTGACCTTGTTTCTCAGAACCGTGAGACTATGCGGGAAACGGGGCGGGAGAAGTATCTGTACAGCTTGGACAGGTTTTTCTAACCTAAGTATTATTCATCAACAGCCCTTTAAAGCTAAAATTGACACCATAGAGATGGTGGATGAAATCGTCACTGAGAAGCAAGCACCGGGTTCTGGTGGAGGATAAAGACAATAAACCAAAGACAAAAACAACCGGAGCACCGAGAGGGCTAGAAAGATATTCCCAGGACTGCACACTCTGTCCCTCCCTGTCCTCAGCACCCCATCCGCCCCACACTGAGGATGCGCAGGCGGCCTGGCTCCTCTGCACCAGCAGCGTCTGGGAGAGCCTGGGCCCCGCTTCAGCAGGCTCCAAGCCTTAGCTCCTTCACTGTAACATGAACTCCACCTCTTATGTGAAAGGGATGAACAAACAGTAACAGGAAAGAGCTCTTCGAACGCTGAGTACAGGAGCACGGGAGACCGAGTGATCACGCTGCAATTCATGTCAGTCATTCGCCACTAACTGAGGACGCTAGCAAGGAAGACAATCCACGGCAGTCTATAAAGCACCAGCAGGTGGCACAGTGGTTAAGGTGCGGGACTCCTAGATGGCTGCCCACAGTTCAAGTCCTGGACCCAGCAGCTTGAAACTCACACCGGGCAAATGGGCATGCAGGTCAAAATCCCAGGAGGAGAAGGGATTGTATCATAGCTATCAGCCCTGGGGGTGACTTTTCCCTCTCACTGTCTCCCTCTGTCTCTCTGACAAGCACATATGTCCTGTAGTAAAATCTTTAAAAAAAAAGAAAGAAAGAAAAGAGGGACCAGCAGTTAGCATAATGGCTATGTCGCTGGACTCCCATGTAGTCGACCACGGTTCAAGTCTCGGACCCGGTGGCTTAAACTCACGCACGGCACATGTGCATGCGTGCCCAAGATCCCGAGAGGACAGTGGAGGAGAAGGGATTGTGGTGTGGCCATCCCCCCTGGGGGCTGATTTCTCGCTTTCTGTCTCTCTATCTTTCTGAAAAGCGCACACGCCCTATAGCAAAAACCTCTCTTAAAAAAAAAAAAGAAAGAAAAAAAGGTCAAGGTTTTCCTTTTGAATCCTGAAGGATTATGGCTATATCCAACATCTAGATATTCATGCCACTTTAAGACAAATAAACCTACAGGAGAAGTCTGTGCATGATGAGAAAGGACATTCTGCTCCTCTAAGGTCCCTGGCCTCACCAACTGCTTCGTGCCCCACTCTCCCATGCAGCAGACACCGTGACACTGTAATATTACTACTGCAGAATGCCGTCCTCCACAGGACGCTCCTCGCCAATCCCTGTGTGGCACGGCTGCTTCCCACGGTGGAAAAAGACACTGTCTAGAAAAGGCAAATGACTCCTGGAAGCTGAGAGGAAAATCTGCCAGGGGACAGGCAAAATTCAGGCCATGGGTCACCAAGAACTGACTGTAGGGTTACTGCTGTTATTCTTAACCTAGGGTCCCCGATTCCCTCCAAGCCCGGGCCTCTCTGGGAACTGGCACCCGCTGACTCACCACAGGATCTTGGGAGGCCTCTTTGTCCTTGTCTTTCTTGTCTTTTTTCTTTTTCTTGTCCTTCTTCTTAGTGGTCCCAGAAGCCGACAGCTTCCCGCGCTCTTGGATGACCAAGTTCCGATAGTGTTCGTCACAAGGATGGTCCCACATGGACTGCCCATTGGCGAAGTTGAAATAGTAGATATCACCCGTGATGTCTTGGCTAGGGATGAACGGAATTCAGAAGTTAGTCCCTACTCAGGTCCAAAGCTACTCAGGGGGACAAAAAGGAAAAGAAGATGTACAGGGAGGAATAACAGATGGAGGAATGAGAGACAGAGATGAGAGAACAGATCAGAGTAGAGCAGGAGACCGGCAGGGGGGGTGATAGTTAAGGCACTGGACTCCCACACATAGTTGACTGCAGTTCGAGTCCCAGACCTGACAGCTTGCTTTCTCACTTTCCCTTTCTCTCTGTCTTCCTCGGGTCAAATTAAAAAATGATAATCACAAATAAAATTAAATTAATAAATAATCCTTTTTTTTAGAGAGAGATGTTTTTGCTATAGGGCACGTGCACTCAACAGAGAGACAGAAAACAAGAAATCACCTCCCAGGGGATGTCCACACCGCAATCCCTTCTCCTCCATTTTCCTCTCAGGATCTTGGGCACATGCACCATGCCCAGCCTGAGTGTTAAGCCACCAGGGTCCAGGACTTGAACTGTGGTCCTGTGGTCAGCCATGCGTGAGTCCAGTGTCTCAGCCACCATGCCACCTGCTGGGGCCCCTGTTTTTTCATTTTATTTTTCTTTCTTTTTTTTTTTTCTTTTTAAGAATTATGTATTTATGGGAACCAGCAGTTAGCGTAATGGCTATGTTGCTGGATTCCCACGTAATTGACTGCGGTTCGCGTCCCGGACCCGGCGGCTTAGAACTCACGCCGGGTGCGTGTGCGTGCATGCCCAAAATCCTGAGAGGAGAATGGAGGAGAAGGGATTGCGGCGTGACCCTCCCCCCTGGGGGGCGATTTCTCGCGTTCTGTCTCTATGTCTCTCTCTGTCTGGCAAGCGCACGTGCCCTATAGCGGTAAACCTCTCAAAAAAAAAAAAAAAAAAAAAAGAAAGAAAAATAAAATGAAAAAACAGTGGGGCCAGCAGGTGGCATGGTGGCTGAGACACTGGACTCACGCATGGCTGACCACAGGACCACAGTTCAAGTCCTGGACCCAGTGGCTTGCTTTCTCACTCTCATTTCTCTCTGTCTATCTCTCTCTGGTCAAAACTGAAGAATGGCGATAATAAATAAAATTAAAAATAAGTCAACCTTTAAAAAACTTAACTTTTTTTTTAAAGTTCTGGACTTGTAGAACACGCTTGATTTGTAAGAAGTTATAATCCAAGCTAGGGGAGGACGATGGTAAACAAAAGGATGTGTATTTTAGAAATCAGTTTCAGCATGAACAAGCCCAAAGTAGACCACTTGTCCCAGCCACTATTGGGGGGGGATTAGTTGGTTCGTTATTTTTGCCAGAGAATGTCCATGCTCGCCAGAGAGAAAGGCAGAGAAAGAGAAAGTAAGAAATCACACTAGGGGAGATGGCCAAGCTGCTATCCCTTCTCCTCCAGTCTCCTCTCGGGATTTTGGGCACGTACGCACATGTGCCTGGCATAATTTTTGAGCTGCTAGGTTTGAGGCCTAAATTCTAGTCAGCCATGTGGGAGTCCAGTGACTTAACCACCACGCCACCTGCTGGAGCCCCATTCCCTATTAGCAATAACCTATTAGGATTGTTAATAGAAAAAAGAATCCCATTCGCAACAGTAATAAAAATGATAATGTACCCAAGAATAAATCTAAACTGGACAAAATCTTCATAAAGCTTTATAAACAGTCAGGGGGAAAAAAAATACCATGGGAGAGGCACTCCATGCTTCTGATTAGAACTCAAGTCTGCAAAGATGCCAAAAGTCCTCAAATTAATCTGTAACTCCGATACGATTGCAATCAAGTTCTTTATGAAACTTGACAAGCTGAATCTCAATTTGAATAAAAGAGAAAATGAACATAAATAGAAAGGAAAATACCAGCATTGAAAAAGAACAATAGAAGAAATTCAAATAATACAGATAAGAAAAGATATTCTATATCACTAAACAGTAGGGAAATGCAAATTGAAACTACAATGTAACACCACTTCACACTCATCAGCCTGGCTGTGATCCAAAACCCAGAAACTGGGGCCTGCAGACGGCATACTGGTTAAGCCACTGGACTTCCACATGGCTGACTGCAGTTTCAGTCCTGGGTCTGCGGCTTGAAACTCACACTGGGCACATATGCATGTGTGCCCAAGATCCCAGGAGGAGAATGGAGGAGAAGGGATTGTGGCATGGCCATCTCTCTTGGGAGATGATTTCTCACGTTTCCTGTCTCTCTCTTTCTCTGGCAAGTGCACATGCTCTAAGACAAAAAAAACTCTTAAAAAAAGAAAAGAAAAGAAAACAGAAAATAACAAGTACTAGCAAGGATATGAAGAAATTGAAAACCTTAGAGGGCCAGCGGGTGGTGTGGTGGTGGTTAGGGTGCTGGACTCCCACATGGCTGACTGTGGTTCAAGTCCCAGACCCAGCAGCTTGAAACTCATGCCGGGTGCCATGTGTGCAGGCCCAACAGGAGAATGGAGAAGGGACTGTGGTGTGACCATCCCCCCAAGGGGTGTGATCTCTCTCTCTCTCTCTCTCTCTCTCATCCTATAGCAAAAATCTCTCAAAGAAAAGAAAACCTGGGGGCCAGGAAGTGGCATGGTAGTTAAAGGTGCTGGATTCCCACATGGCCGACCATGGTTCAAGTCTCGGACATGGTGGCTTGCTTTCCAACTTCCTCTCTCTCTCTCTGATCAAACTGGAAAATAATAATGATATAATAATAAATAAAGTTAAATATTAAAAAAAAAGAAAAGAAAACCTTACAAACTGATGGTGAGAATGTAAAATGGTACAGGGAACCAGCAGTTAGCGTAATGGCTATGTCGCTGGATTCCCACGTAGTCAACAACGGTTTGAGTCCCGGACCCAGTGGCTTAGAACTCACGCCGGGCGCGTGTGCGTGCGTGCCCAAGATCCCGAGAGGAGAATGGAGGAGAAGGGATTACGGCGTGACCATCCCCCCGGGGGATGATTTCTCGCTTTCTGTCTCTATGTCTCTCTCTGTCTGTCTGGCGAGCGCATGTGCCCTACAGCGAAAACCTATTAAAAATAAATAAATAAAAATTAAAAAATAAAATGGTACAGCCACTGTGAAAAACAGCATAGCAGCACCTCAAAATAATAATAATAATTAAACGATGACCCAGTAATTCCATTTCTGGGGATACACCCAAATGAACTGAGCAGGGACTCAAATAGATATTTACAAGTCCATGTTCACAGCAGCCGAAAGGTGAAAATATCCCAGTCGTTCATTGACGATGAATAGACAGAATGCAGATTATACATACGATGCAGTATTTTTTTGTTAGAGAAATTTTGGTAAGGGAGTGTGCACTTGCCAGAAAGACAGAGAGAGACAGAGAGACAGAAGCGAGAAATGACCACCCAGGGGGGATGGCCACGCTGCAATCCCTTCCCCTCCACTCTCTTCTCAGGATTTTGTGCATGCATGCACATGCACCTGGCGTTCAGTTTTAAGCCGCCAGGTCCAGGACTCAAACAACAGTTGACTACATGGGAGTCCAGCAACGTAACCATTACGCCACCTGCTGGCCCCTACAAGGCAGTATTTCTCAGTCTTTTTTTTTTTTTTTTTTCTTTTTTTTGGAGAGATTTTTGCTATAGGGCGCATGTGCTCGCCAGAAAGACAGACAGAAAGCGAGAAATCATCCCCCGGGGGGGGGATAGCCATGCCACAATCCCTTCTCCTCTCGGGATCTTGGGCATGCACGCACGTGCACCTGGCATTAGTTTAAGCCGCCAGGTCCAGGACTCAAACAACAGTTGACTACATGGGAGTCAGCGACATAGCCATTACACTAACTGCTGGTCCCAGTCTTAAGAATGAATTAGATCTGTCTCTATTAGTTCTGAATTCTATTAATAAATTCTGTCACACACTACAACATGGATGTGCCCTAAAGACACTATGTTAAGTAAAAGAAGTCACACACTAAAGGACAAGTGTTTTATGATTCTACTCATATAAAACACCTAGAATGGGCCAATTCATAGAGGCAGAAAGTAGAATGCTATTTGCCAGAAACTGGGGAGAGGGAAAAAGAGAATTATTGTTGAGTGGGACAGGTTTCGGTTTAGGAAGATGGTAAATTCTGGGACGGACGGTAGTGATCCACCCACCACAGTATTATGAATGTACTTAGGGCCATTGAGCTGAATACCTGAAAATGGCTAAAATGGCAAGTTTTATGTTATATATATTTTACTACCAAAAAAAGAAAAACATTTTTTTTTTTTCAGTTTCAGTTTTTAGGTATAGGCCACATGTGCCCACCAGAGAGAAGAAAGAAAGAGAGTAAAAGAGAAAAATCACACACAGGAAATGATCACACTGCAATTCCTTCCCCATTCTTGTCTTGGGGTTTGGGGCATGTGCACACAAGCACCAGCCGTGATTTTCAACTGCCATGTCTGGGACTTGAACCGCACAGTCATGTGGGATCCAGGACCTTAACCTCCACACCACCTGCTGGCCCACAAAAAAAAAATAGTTTAACTTCCATATGATAAAAGAAAGCATCAAAATGAAGAGATGAGAGACTGGCAGACATTTACAATAGCTACAAAAATAATAAAATATCTAGGAGTAAACCTAACCAAAGACGTGAAAGACCTCTACAAGGAAAAATGAAAAAAGAATTGAATAGGACCAAAAAAAAAAGAAAGAGAGAAAAGATATCCTGTGTTCTTGGATTAAAAGAATCAATATAATCAAAATGCCAGTTCTACCCAAATCAACTTACAAATTTAATGCAATTCTGATCAAATTACCAGAGCTATTCTTTACATAAGCAGAAAAAGAAAATCATAAACTTTATCTGGCCTTTATCATTAAAGGCCCCATATCACCAAAGCACTACTACGTAAAAAGAATAAAGTAGGAGGCATTTCACTACCTGACCTCCAAATATATTACAAAGCTAAGATAATCAAAACAGCATGGTACTGGCACAGCAATAGACATACAGATCAATGAGACATTATAGAGAATCCAGAAATAAACCCCAAAACATGAAAACAAAAAACAAACAACAACAAAAAAACCCTGGCAGTCCAGCAGGTGGTACAGAGATAAAGATAGCTAGATCCCACATGATCCCACGGTTCAAATCCCAGACCCAGTAGTTTGAAAATCACACCAAGCACATGTGTATGGCTGTCTTGAATCCTGGGAGGAGAATGGAAGAGAAGAGTTTGTAGTGAGGCCATCCCTTAGGGTTATCTCTCTCTCTCTCTCTCTGTCTTTCTCTCTCCAGCCAGCACATGCACCCTACAGCAATTTTTTAATTGAAATTTTAAAATATGCCATTTACAGAAACATCAAATATGCAGTGAATAGGGATGAAGCTGATGAAAGATGGGCAAGACATGAACATTATAAACAGCAGAACATTTTTCGGAGATGGTAAAGAAAACCTGAATAAACGGAAATTAACCACGTTCGTGGGAAAGGCGTAGTACTATTTAAGATGTAAAGTCTCCCTAGATTAATTTACAGATTCAACACAATCCCATCCAAATCCTAATAGGAAACGAACAAGCTATTGGGTCATTGGAAAAGTCATGACGCATTTTTGCACAGAAAAACATAGAAAGATATATCACAACTTTTCCAACAACTCAGTATTTCCAAAGTTTACATGGAGTTAGAAAAGGCCTCAAATATGATTTTGAAAATGGAGAACAAAGTTGAAGGATTTACCCTAAATGATTTCAAGATTTACTATAAAACAACAGTAATCAAGACAGAATGGGGGCCAGCAGGTGGCATGGTGGTGAGGGGCACTGGACTCCCACATGACTAACCACGGTTCGAGTCCCAGACCTGGCAGCTAGCTTTCTCTCTCTCTCTCTTTCTCCTCTCTGTCACTCTCCGGTCAAATATAAAGAAAGAAAAGAAAGAAAAGAAAGAAAGAAAGAAGGTGAAATAAAATAATTTATTTTTTAAAAAGGCAGAATGGTACTCATAGACAAAAAAAAAATCAGTAGAAGAGGTCACAGGATCCAGAAATAGACTCTCACAGACATGATCAGTTTGAGAACATTTAAGTGTCTTTCAACATAAGAGTAGTTAAATAAAAACTTATTTAAATTGTGGTACCTCTATGTAAGAAAAGTATACAGCTGATAAAAGAGTGAAATAGGGGACCAGCAGGTGGTGTAGTGGTTAAGGCACTGGATCCCCACATGGCCAATCACGGTTCAAGTCCCGGAGCTGGAAGCTTGAAAATCAGGCAGGGCATACATGTGCACATGCCTAAAATCCCAGGAAGAGAAGTGACTGCAGTATGGTCATTCTCCCTGAGGGGTGATTCCTTACTCTCCTCTCTGTCTCTCCTCCAGTGAATGCACGCACCCTATGGCAAAAAAAAAAAAAAAGAGGAAGGCAGACATACACATACTGCCATGAGAATAGTATACATAATACAACACTTATGGGGAACCAGCAGTTAGCGTAATGGCTATGTCGCTGGACTCCCACGTAGTTGACCGCGGTTCACGTCCCGGACCCGGTGGCTTAAAACTCACACCGGGAGCGTGTGCGTGTGGGCCCAGGATACCGAGAGGAGAATGGAGAAGGGATTGCGGCGTGACCATCCTCCCTGGGGGATGATTTCTCGCTTTCTGTCTCTATGTCTCTGTCTGGCGAGCGCACGTGCCCTATAGCGAAAAAAAAACTCTCAAAAAAAAAAAAATACAGCACTTATGTTTTTAAAAAAACAACCCTTAGGGACCAGCAGATGGTGTAAAGGGTTACATTGCTGGACTCTCACTTAGTAGACATCAGGCACTTGTGTGTGCATGCCCAAAATCCCTAGAGGAGAATGAGGAGAAGGGGTTACAGTATAGCCATCCCCCCGGGAGGTGATTTCTCACTTTCTGTCTCTCCTTCTCTCCAGCAAGCACACATGTCCTATAGCAAAAAATATGTCTAAAAAAAAAAGCCTTTCACGTGTTTAAAACACCTGGAAGGAACTACAAATTGACAGTATTTACCTTTGGGAACAGAGCAAAACATAGCATGTACACACAGGTTTAATGACTAATTTTTTAAATTATTGATTTTATTTACATTTATTATCATTATCATTATTATTATTATTATTTAATTTGCATGTGTGCTCACCAGAGTGAGACAAAGAGAGAGAGAAAGTGAGAAAGCAAGCCGCCAGGTCTAGGACTTGAACCACAGTCGGCTGTGTGGGAGTCCAGCACCTTACCCATCATGCCACCTGCCAGCTCCTTACTAATGCTATATTTAAAAGTGAGGGGCTGGGACCAGCAGGTGGTGTAATGGTAATGTCATTGGACTCCCACATGGTCGACTGCGGTTCAGGTCCCAGACCTGGCGGCTTGAAACACACTGGGAACGTGTGTGTCCCAAATCACAAGAGGAGAATAAAGAAGGGACTGACCATCCTCCTTGCAGGGTGATTTCTCATCTTCTGTCTCTCAGCCTCTTTCTGTCTCTCTGGCGAGCACAAATGCCCTAGAACAAAAATCTCTCTAAAAAACAAGATGAGGGAGTGTTAACTGCCACTCACAGGGACAGGAAGGCAGCTGGCCCAAGGCCGGCCCGCAGCAGCCCAGTGCCGGTCCCACCTTCTGTCAGGGCAGGTACTGGAAATGAAACGGAAGCCACTAGCCAATAAACTTACAGAGCCACCGCAGCCATGAGTCCACAGCACCTGAAACACTGCGAAGCGCTGACAGATTACGAGGGAGATGTCGCAGAGCTGGAGGAGGCCCAAGGAAAGGCAGCTCCGAGATGCAGGGAACGAGGCTCCTGCCGCGTGAGAAGAAGCTGAACGGGTTAGACTCCTGGGGGGAGTGAGGCCACGCTGTCATCCTGAAGTGCGGGCTGACACACTAAGTGGTGTGGGCGGCAACAGGATGGCTACGCCTTGTCCCCGGCATTGCACAGCCAGCCAGAGGGGACCCTCGACATCAGGGACTAGTTTAGGACATACAGGGAAACCCTAGTCTAAGGAGGAAGACCGTGGCCACGCACTGTAGGGAGACGACGTGGCTCCAGAGAGCTCTGTGCATGGGAAGAGATCGAGGGCCTGCTGGAAAAGAGACCAGAGCCGCCGTGCGCCAAGGGAGGGCGGTGCCCCCCGCGAGTGGGCGGCCCTGGGAAGGTGGGAGACGGGGGACAGTGACCATGGCTCCCTGCCTCGGCCAGTCTGTGACCTGTTTCCCTGAGATGACCTGAGACATGGCTCCTTGCCACGTGCCACGCAGAGGGCTCTCACTGAGACTGAAAACCTGAATGAACCCAGGAACACCGACGTCCTGGGGGCGGGTTACACAGACAGGGCGGCAGAGCCATGGTTGCCAAAGGACACAGAAGCCTCTGCCAGTCCGCGCTGCCTCACCACAAATGCCTCAGCACCAGAAGCTATTCTGGACGTGCGGAGGAGGTGCCCTTGTCCCTTTTCGTATCTGTCTGCAAAGGATAACCACGACACCTCCTTGCCGCCTGCCCTTCTCTTTCTGTCGCTCTCTGGCAAGCACACGTACTCTTTGGGGAAAAAAAAAATTGGAGGGCTGGCTGGTGGCATGGTGGTTAAGGGCGCTGGACTCCCACATGGCTGACCATGGTTCAAGTCTCGCACCTGCCTGCTTGCTTTCTCACTTTCCCTCTCTCTCACTCTGTCCCTCTCTGGTCAAATTTAAATAAATAAGTAAATAAGGAAGGAAGGAAAGAAAGGCAGGCAGGCAGGCAGGAAGGAAGGAAATTAAATAATTCTTTTTTTTGTTTTATTATTTTTTCTTTTTTTGGAAAGGTTTTTGCTACAGGGCACGTGCGCTCACCAGAAAGGCAGAGAGAGACAGAGAGACAGAAAGCGAGAAATCGCCCCCCAGGGGGGATGGCTATGCCATCCCTTCTCCTCCATTCTCCTCTCAGGATCTTGGGCATGCACGCACACGCACCCAGCGTGAGTTTAAGTTGCTGGGTCCAGGATTCGAACGGTGATCGACTACATGGGAGTCCAGTGACATAGCCATTACACCAACTGCTGGTCCCAATAAAATAATTATTTAAAAAAAATTATTTTAAACACCTGAAACAGGGCCAGCTAGGTAGTTTGGTAGTTAAGACAGGAGGACCCCCCACATGGCCAACTGTGAGGTTTGAGGCCCGGATCTGGCCGCTTGGAAAACTCACAGGGCATGTGTGCATATGTGCCCACCCAAAATCCTGAGAGAATGGAGAAGGGATTGCAGCGTTGCCACCCCCACGGGGTGCTTTCTCACTTTACCTCTCTCTCTCTTTTTCTCTCTGCCTTTCAGGCAAGCACATGTGCCCTATTGCAAATTAAAAAAATAAATTAAATTAAATTAAATTAAAAACCAAGTAAAACAACAAAACAAAATCGAAACAGATGATGCTGCTAAAAGATCCAACCCAGGGCAGGAGCTCCTGTGGCTCAAGATGTAAGGACTGAACCCCACTAACCAGTCAGCTCCAGCCAGAACTGGAACGTCGGGCAGAAAAACGGCAGCGCTCTGTCCTCAACTATGCAGGACAGGCCTGGGAAACACGGCAGGGAAGCTCCAGCGAGCTTCCCTCTGCCCTGGATGGGGCCCAGCCAGTGGGTCACACGCCTGCTCACTTACCAGGGCTTCCACTCTGCAGGCAGTGGGGCCACGATGCCCTCCCGTGCCAGCCACATCAGTTCTGGTTCCTTGATGGGATCGATACCAATCTCTCTGGCAAATTCAAGAATTTCTGCAAGGAGAGGCAGGAAGGTGAGAAGGTAAGGGAGTTGAGGGAGGGGAAAGAAGAAAAACATCACAGCTGACCTTTTTTCTATTCTGCCTTAGCTTACTAGATTTCTCTCTGTGAGTATGTAGCATTTCTCTAAACACAAACAGTAAGCATTACAACTATTTCCTTAAGTTGCAATTTATAATGGCAGGACTGAATCAAAGGCTGCTATCTCCATACTCCAAGGAAGTATAACAAAGGGGGAAAGTAAAACCAAGACCAGAAGGGACGTTATGGCTACAACACTGGACCAACTTTGGTTTGAGTCCTGGACCTAGTGGCTTGAAACTCGTGCCAGACGCATGTGCATGCATGCCCAAAATTCTGAAAGGAGAGTGGATGAGAATGGATTATAGTGTGGCCATTCCCCCTGGGGGGGGGTCATTTCTCACTTTCAGTCTCTCTGTCTCTCCAGCGAGTACACGTGCCCTGTAGCTCTTTAAAAGAAAAAAAAAAAAAAAAAAAAGTAGAACCAAGACTCTATCTTGGCAGGGGCACTAGGGAGAAGCCCGATGAACACAAGCAGAACCATCCGGCACCAGGGCAGTCCTGCCCGAAGGACATAAGCAAATTCTCCCAAGGTCTAAAAAGGTTTGCAAAGCCTGGCACTCATCACTCAATCAGTAAACACACACTGGGGACCACCAGCTAGCATAATGGCTATGTCGCTGGTCTCCCATGTAGCCAGTCACGGTTCAAGTCCCAGACCTGGTGGCTTAAACTCATGCCGGGCGCGTGTGCATGCATGTCCAAGGGCCCGAGAAGAGAATGGAGGAGAAAGGATTGCAGCATGGCCATCCCCCCTGGGGGGAGATTTCTCGCTTTTTGTCTCTCTGTCTCTCTCTTTCTGGTGAGTGCACACTATAACGAAAACCTCTCCAAAAATAAAACAGTAAAAAATAAAATAAATAAACACACACTGAATGACTGCAGGTGACTAGGCTCCCTGAGGCCCTAACAAACACACAAAGAACAGGACCCAGGGGCCACGTGCTACAACAGAGGACGTTCAGAGTGGTGAGGATCAGAGAGAAGGCGGCAGCTGATTTTGCCTGGAGGCAGGAAGAGGGCTGAGCTGAAAAGAGGATGATGCCCAGGCAGCCTTCTTCCCACCTTCCACAGCTTTCTTCCAGGAAGGCAGCTGTTTCTTTGTCAGTGTTGCCATACGTATAGGATAGACTCTATTTCTCTCTCTCTCTCTTTTTTTTTTCCTTTTTCTTTTTTTTTTTTTTTTTTTTTTTTTTTTTTGGGGTTTTTTTTTTA